AAAATCCGAAATTAGCTCAAAATTTGCCCGTGGGGCCCACATCTCGGAATCCGATGAAACTTATAAAATCAGACAATCCATTCAATTACGAGTCCACCCATACCAATTTTACCAAAATCCGATAACAACTCGACCTCCAAATCTTATATTTTTATTTTTGGAAGATTTTGCAAAAATATTGATTTTTCTTCCATAAATTCACGGATTCATGATGTAAATGAGTATGGAATCATGAAATATAATCAATATAGGATAAGGAACACTTACCCCAATGTTTTTTCGTGAAAATCGCCCAAGAACCGTGCTCCAAAAATCCAAAACGAAATGAATGAAATGACCATTTTTGGTTCTTAAGTTTCTGCCAATCCGTCACTAAAAGTCCATTTTCCGTCACTAAAAGTTCACCAAAAATAGCTCTAGCAGTCTTACTTCAATTGATCATAACTTTATGTACAAATATCCAAATGATAAATGGTTTAACTTTCTGGAAACTAAAATCCACCGACTACAACTTTAGTGTTTTGCAATTATTCTGATTCCTTATGCATTGCAAAATATAAGCTCCCAAAGTCGGCTGCATGTATCAGAATTTCTGGCGAAACTGCTCTACCAGCCTTCATTCAATCCGTCATAACGTTCTGTAAAAATGTCCAAATAATGCATAGTTTAACTTTATGGAACCTATAATCATACGACTACAACTTTCATGTTTTGCACATTTTCTGATTCTTTATGAATTGCGAGATATAAGCTTTCAAAGTTGGCTCCACGCACGGAATTTCTGCAACAGAAATTTCCAGCACTCTTTGTCTGAAATCCATTCCGTTTACCTTCCGAAATCCACCCGAGACACTCGGGACCTTAACCACTTATTCCAACATGTACCAAAATATCATACGAACTTAGTCGAGCCTTCAAACTACATCAAACAATATCAAAACGACGAATCGCACCTCAAATCAAAATCAATGAACTTTGAACTTTTAAATTCTATATCTTGTGTCGAAACACATCAAATCAATTCGGAATGACTTCAAATTTTGCACACAAGTCATAAATGACATAACTGAGTTATGAAAATTTTCAGAATCGGATTTCGACCCCGATATCAAAAAGTCAACCCCTCGGTCAAACTTCCCAAAAATTCAACTTTCGGCATTTCAAACCTAATTCTACTACGGACTTCCAAATAAAATTCCGATCACGCTCCTAAGTCCAAAATCACCACACGGAGCTGTTGGAATCATCAAAATTCTATTCTGGGGTCGTTTGCACATAATTTGACATCCGGTCACTATTTGAACTTAAACTTTTAATTTTTCATCAAAATTCCATATCTCGGGCTAGGGACCTCGGAATTTAATTCCAGGAATACGGCTAAGTCCCAAATTATGATACAGACCTACAAAAATTGTCAAAACACTGATCCGAGTCCTTTTGCTCAAAATGTTGACCAAAGTCAACTCAGTTGAGTTTTAAAGCTCTAATTCACATTTTAATTCATTTTTCACCTGAAAACTTTTCGGAAAATTTTTATGGACTGCACACGCAAGTCGAGTAATGATAAATAGTTCTTTTTGAGGTCTTAAAATANTATATATATATATAAAACTACAACATAATACGATTTACATACAATTATACTACAACTTTACTATACTTTCGTAAATATATTGTATGTCATTTTTTCTTCTTCGAGTTTCAATCTGAAATTCAGCCAAAACCAAGTCTAATTTTCACCAAGCGCCCTCAAAATTGAAATATAAACTCAAAACAATATTCCCAATTATTTGCAACAACACCCAATCTAAACAAATAATAATTTTTGAAAACTCAAATTCGAATTCAAAGCTTTATGATAGATTAGTGTTCGAATCTTCAATCCCTATGATCCGGAGGTTACTTCAATAGGTTGATTGACAGAAGACAACTTTTAGGCTTAACTTATTGAGAGAGAAAGACGGCGAGAGAGAGAGAGAGAGAGAGAGAGAGAGAGAGAGAGAGAGAGAGAGATGAAGAAAGAAAGAAAAAATGATGAGAGATGCGGCAGTGAGGAAAGAGGAGAGGAGAGAAAAAAGGGAAATGATGTAACTAAACTCCTAATTTAAGGCACTAATAATGGATTGTATACAATTTTAAGTAATCTTTGTTTAGGGTGGGTAATATACAAAACTAAGACAATTTTGGTAAATAAGTTTCAAATATTGTATAGGAAGGAAAAAATATAAAAATTGCATGGGGCGCCCTATTTGGTCGCCCCCTTTTAACTTATACCCAAGTTTTTCCGTTTGCATCCGCACCTATTTTTTTGTTAAAAGTATTTTAAAAAGACGATTTTGCCCTTCAGGACTATTGATAAAACTGTAGACTGCAGGACATCACTTAAGCATGTTTTGGCATGAAGTTTTAGAAAATGAACAAATAACTTAAGCATGTTTAGTCTGAAGTTTTAGCAAATGAACTAAATAACTTAAGCATATTTAGTCTGAAGTTTTAGCAAATGAACTAAATAACTTCAGCATGTTTTGTCTGAAATTTTAGCAAATGAACTAAATAACTTCATCATGTTTAGACTGAAATTTTGGATAAAACTCATGACAAAACTGTTAACTGCAGGATAAATAACTTCAGCATGCATTAGCATGAAGTTTTAGCTTCAATGTAAAACAACTTCAGCTCCCTTGTAATTGGCTGAAGTTTTACACCATCTCACATGCTAATGAATAACCCCTGGTACTGTAAAACAACATCATCTCCAAACGTTAGCATGTTGCTACGTTTATCAGGGCTTGTTTTACAGTATGCTAATGCGAATGAGGTCATCTCCAAAGTAGCATGCTAATGCTAATACTATCAGGGGTGCAATTTTCATATTATTACGGATTTTTTGTCAACTGGCTACCAAATCAATAATTTTTAAAAGTATAATACATGTTAAAATGTGGCACAAATATAGGGTACGACTGCAAATCCCTCGAAAAAAATACCTAAATGTTATTGTGAAGTGGTTTGGCCCAAGTTTTGTTATACATACATCAGGCCCATAAAGGGCATCTAAGACATTTCATCGGTATCTTTGCAAAAACCCTACTTTTATATCTTCTATTTCGTCTCACTCGCCACTCCCTCTACAGAGCACACCCGGAACCTTAACCCTAGCTCATTCCAACTCCGTCGCTGCCAAAATGCCGCCCAAGTTCGATCCATCTCAGGTGGTCGAGGTTTTCGTCCGAGTTACCGGCGGTGAAGTCGGAGCTGCGAGTTCACTCGCTCCAAAAATCGGTCCGCTCGGTCTCTCCCCTAAAAAAATCGGTGAAGACATCGCAAAGGAAACCGCCAAGGACTGGAAGGGTCTCCGAGTCACTGTAAAACTAACCGTCCAAAACCGTCAAGCTAAAGTCTCCGTCGTTCCCTCCGCTGCCGCACTCGTCATCAAGGCGTTGAAGGAGCCGGAACGTGACCGTAAGAAGACCAAAAACATTAAGCATAACGGTAACATCTCGCTCGATGACGTCATCGAGATCGCTAAGGTGATGAAGCCAAGATCGATGGCGAAGGATTTGAGTGGAACAGTGAAGGAGATTTTGGGCACGTGTGTATCAGTTGGTTGTACGGTAGATGGGAAGGATCCTAAGGATTTGCAGCAAGAGATTGATGATGGTGATGTCGAGATTCCTCTCGATTGAATGCGAATTATCAACTGATGGTAATATTATGTTAATTTTATGTTATTTTGTTTTGAGGATGTCATCTTGAGGATCATTTTGATATAACTATGACATTCTGGAATTTTATATTTGGAAATGTAGTTTGGATTTGCTTTTTCTCGATGAAGTGCTTTAGCATTGCTTTATGCGTTTTGCTGAATTTACTGTTTTTTAATTAGTATAAATTGGTTACTTGGAAATTGTTGTTTGGATACTGTTTAGGGCAAATATTCATAATTAATAATGTTGATTTATCTCATTGCATCCACAGACTTCAGCTTTGTGTTTGTTTCTGAACTGTTGGGGATAAATTTCAGGAAACCTAGAGCACATTGACAAGTACTGAAGAGCTTTGCGTTTGTACATTTTTGTGTGCAAATAAACTGTTACGAAGTTCATTTAGTAAACCCATTGGGTGCATCTGTGCACTCTTAAAAAAATTGGTATATTTGCGTTTTCCATTTACCCATCATATATTGTGGGCGAAGACTGAACTTTCGGCGGTATTTCTCTATCTTGATGACCACTTGAACCCTAATAAATTATTGTAATTTACTATCTTGATCATAAAAATTATTGTAGTTTACTCTAGTTTTTTCTCTTTCACTAATCATAATATTTTTTCCTGTCTATGTGTTGTGTTTACCCATAAAAAAAATTGGTTTTCTCTAAACTGCTAGTACATTTTGGTTCAGTCAGTCCTCAAAATCCATTTGCAGCTGAATGTTACAGAACTGCGTTGATGGCATAAGTGCCTTGTTCTAAAGGTTTACACATCGTTGTTCTCGTTCAGCAGTAGCAGAACTATAAATTAAAGAATTGTGGTGCTCCATCCGCAGAAATGCTCCAAACCCACTTGGTCGAGGTGTAAAATTTAGTAAAGATTAGTCCTTTACAACCGCTATTCAGTTTCCTCGTTAAATGATGCGGTTACAAATTGTTGTGACTTTTATAAATTGAATTATAAGGGAATCATAAGCAAAAAAAAAAGGGAACATGGATTCTGAGGGAGACATTTGAGTGTTAAATTCTGAAGTATTCCTATGTCAACTGTCAAGTGTGAAGTCTTAACCATTACATTTCCCGGAACGCACTACAGTGTAAAGAGAGTAAACCGATTATGATAAAATTGTTTACGAAATATACTAGTATATAATTGGGTGGAACGCACTACAGTGTAAAGAGAGTAAACCGATTATGATAAAATTGTTTACGAAATATACTAGTATATAATTGGGTGGAACGCACTACAGTGTAAAGAGAGTAAACCGATTATGATAAAATTGTTTACGAAATATACTAGTATATAATTGGGTGGAACGCACTACAGTGTAAAGAGAGTAAACCGATTATGATAAAATTGTTTACGAAATATACTAGTATATAATTGGGTGGAACGCACTACAGTGTAAAGAGAGTAAACCGATTATGATAAAATTGTTTACGAAATATACTAGTATATAATTGGGTGAAAGAATTGCTTTGTAGATGATCAGATGGATTCACCCTTCCCAGAGCCTTCTATAAGTTAACATAGGGGTGAACATGTAAGGCCTCGTAAAATTCCACTTAAAACTCGGGTTTCATCGCGGTATAGACTTTTTGGGTTTAACATCGCGTTGGGGACTTGAAGAAAATTTTTGGCAGAGTAGGGTGTTTTTGTGGTCCATTTTGCGATCGCAGAATTGATTTGCGGGCCGCAGATCCGCCGTAGAGTGAAGCAGGGAACTAGGCATATTTGGGATGATATTTTGCGGTCAATTGTGCGGTCGCATATTCGTTTCGTGGGCCGCACATTTGTCGTCGAATCCAACATAAGAAATTTTGGAAGGAGGTCCTGCGGTCCATTATGCGACCACAGAACTTGTTTGCGGACTGCAGACCTATCGCAGATCCAACCCGAACAACCCAGTTTTGGGATCCTTTTCTGCGGTCCCCTTTGCGGGCTGCATACTTGTTTTGCGGTCCGGTCTACGATCGCAGACCTGATTTCGTAGAGTCTAAGTTTGAAAATTTTTACCCGATCCCATTTTCATAAAAATAACTTGTGGGTTATTTTGGCTGGTCCTAACTGATATTTAAAGAGGGGGAGTGGTCTAGAGTGAGAGAGGAAGTTCCTAAGGTTATTGTTTACCAATCCTTGCTCAAGTCTTGAAAAATTCACAAGAAAAAGTCACAAAGTCTTCATCCAAGAGGTAAGGTTCCATATCCTAGTCTTTAATTTCGAGTTTAGGGTAGAAGATGGATAATGAGGAGTGTAATTCTTAGATGTGGGGGTGTTATCTATGCATGCATGTACCAACAAAGTTATAGGAAGGTGATTGAGCTAGAAAATGGTAGATATTGGGTTGGGGATGAAGGAATCTACCATAGGAGGACCTTGAAACCTTAATGCACATCTAGTTTTTATAAAATACTCAAATGGGCTGGAACTATGAACTTCTTCCTAATTTGTGTTCAATTTTGCTATATCTCTAAATAGATCGAAGTGGCTAAGAATTTCGGAATATCGTAGTAATTTAAAAAGCTCGAGGCTAGGTATGTTGGCTAAACATATCTCTTAGAATTGAACCCCATAATATCCTTGTAAGTCCCGAGTTGTTTATTATAAATTGATTATTCCGAATAAGCCCTCTGTCAAAAGATATGTGTTCAATATGTATTTCAAATGTTCTTGTTATGTTATGTTCTATTTAAAAATATGCTTGAAGCATGTGTTGCATGTCTAAATGTTATAACTTCAAGTCGTGATTCAAATGAAAGCTATTATGCCAAATTGTGTAAGAGGGGTTGTTGTTCTGATGGTAGGACAAGATGGGTTGCTCTGATGGTAAGTAACATCCACTTCCAACCAAGAGGTTGTGAGTTCGAGTCACCCAAGAGCAAGGTGGGGAGTTCTTGGAGGGAAGGATGCTGAGGTCTATTGGAAACAGCCTCTCTACCTCATGGTAGGGGTAAGGTCTGCGTATACACTATCCTCCCCAGACCCCATTAGTGAGATTATACTGGGTTGTTGTTGTTGTTGTTGTGTAAGAAGTCTCAATGTGTTTAACATTCTTATTTGCTCATATGTGGACTTAAAGTCTTGAATAGAAATGCTTTGTTGTTGATGATCTGTGATGATATTTGAAAGTGAAAGAGATGAACATGAAATATGAAATACGACCAACGTGCCAAGAGTGACATTGTGTTATGGCCATTGGTGCCATTGGAATGGATGATATATAAAAGATAATGAAATGAGTTGTCAATCCTTTAAATAAATAAATATCATGGGAGTATCGTTAGTCATCGAGGAAGGGTAGGTTGAAATAACCTAACCCCGAAAATACACGTGGCGATGTAGGAGTGAATTGTGATTGTACCCTTTAATGGGATACGATTGATGTGATATGAATATTCCTCTCTCTTGGGCTGAGATGATTGCTGGAAAAAGGGTGATGTCGATCCGCACGACATTGTGGTGAGATGGCCTAGCCGATCGGGCCGTGATCGGGCTCCGTGCTAAAATCTCGACGGTATATCAGTACTAAGATCTCCCAACCTAAAATATGGAAATTTACTTGAAAACTTATCTTGTTCCTAACTTGATGTTTTGGTATTGTTTGAGACTCCCATTGATTTTATGATTATCCTTCCTTGTGTTATCATTCCTTCTATTGAGAGGGTGTTTAGTTATTCATACTAGTACTATTCCATATGTACTAACGTCACTTTTGCCGGGAGATCTGCATCTTTAATGGATGCAGATGGTTCCACGGCAGGCGACTTTGATCATTGATAGTGATACACCCTCTTCTCAGTTGACTTGGTGAGCCCCACTTCATATCAGAGTCATATATCTTTTCTTCCTTGTGTATTATGTTTGTAGGTATAGCTAGGGCCTTGTTGCCGACACTTTCATCGTACTCTTTTGTATCTATTAGAGACTCCGTAGACATAGTGTGGGTGGTATATTGGTGTTGGGGAAGTCAAGCTAGTAATGTTGTATTTGTATCACACGTACGCTTCAAACTATGAGAATGTTTGTATTTTGAACTTTATAAATGATGTAACTAATGATAAGGAATTGATGTTGTTCACATGATCCTCCTCATTGTCTAATTAATGAAATTGATCTTTCCTTTAGTCACGAGTGAATTCGGTTAGAAGATATTGTACAAGCTTACTCAGCCGGGTTATCTCGGTTGAGCGCTCGCGCTCCCCGAGGTCGGGGCGTGACAAGCTTGGTATCAGAGCCTAAGGTTTTAAAGTATCCTAGGATGTCTCGGAGCTGTGTCTAGTATAGTGCTTCTTATCGGTGTGTTGTCGACCATATCTATAATTAGGAGGCTACTTGGGCATTTAGGAATAACACCCTTCTCTGATGTTCTAGATCGTGCGATAAAGCTGATTGTAAGATTGTTCCTCCTCTAACTCGTGCATTGCTATAATTTTTAGTACATGGCACCTAGGAAGAAAGCAAGAATTTGCCCACTATGGAGGCTAGAGTGCGCCGGTTTGTGCAGGGCCTTAGCCCCTTCGTTATCAATGAGGCCGCTACAACTGCCTTGAATTCTGATATGAACTATGTGAAGATGGTGGCATTTGCTCTAGCTATAGAGAACCGTAAATTGAAGAATAGAATGGAGCGAGAGAGTAGCAGTAAGGCCCGGTCCGCAGGCAACTTTGGAGGTTCTTTGGGTGGTGGTGGTGGTAGGTCAATATTCAGGGGAGGGTCATCAAGGCCATCCTAGTCTTTTGCTCAATCTTCAGTCAGTGCACCGCCATCAGGGCCCAGTCAACATCAGTGGAGTCGTTTTAGGCCCGGTCAGGGCAATAGGGGATCCTACTAGCAGGGTCGGCCTGGCGGGAGATTCCAGTAGTAGCGGAGGCCCCAATGCCCTAGGTGTGGAAAGATGCACTTGTGAATCTGCTACATGAACCTACCCATATGCTATGGGTGCGGATTGAGGGGTCAAATTCAGAGGGATTGCCGTTCGTCCCGCCAGGATGTGGACAGGGGTACGACACAACCAGCTAGTTCTGCAGCTACTACATCCGCAACACCTCCTCCACCTCGAGGCACTCCAGCACTCGCAGGGGGTGGTACAGAAAGTTCGGGAGGACCCAACCGTTTTTATGCTATGAAGGTCGCTAGAGTTCAGAGGCTTCTTTAGA